AGACCTCAGGGTCCCAGGGCAAAAAGCCCCACCTCCCCTCTGCAATATGTGATTAAAAGTATAAGCTACACTGAACTCTAAAACATGAATAAGGAAGTCCACCAAGATTCAGACTCTTCTTGTGGGAGCTACTTCAGTGCTGTTTATTAAACCAGATTTTTCTAAAAAAAAAAACTCAGCGCCCTATTTTGTTGCTGCCTCCAGCCTGCACTGAACACCTCTGGGTGGCCCAGTCCCAGGCGTTAACATCAGAATAACCTTAGCAGGTAAGGGTTGTCCGCTTTCCTCAGAGGATGACGGTGAGACCTTGGGAGGCCAAGGGACTTGTCCAAGTCACCAGCCAGTAAATGGCAGAGCCTCTACGACGCTCCACCCCACTTCCTGGCCATTCTTGTCCTGTGGGCTCAGTCTGGTTTGAGAGCACAGATTTGAGTCGTCTGCTTGGGCTCAAAAGCCAGTGTCATCTTTGACTATTTACTACCTGGTGTCCTTGGGCAAATTCGTTCTCACCTCTGCTTTCGGTTTCTTCCTCTTTCTTGGGGAAGTGGAAACATTACTAATTCCCATTTCTGGCTGTGAGGGTCAAACAGCGCCCCGCTCCGCGCACCAGGCTCCTTTCCTACTGTTTTCATAGGACCAGGCCTTCTCCAAGCACTTGACCTGTTGAGTCCTCACAGCAACCCATTTTACAGAGAGGGAGACTGAGGCAGTGAGCCATTAAGTCATTTCTCCCAGGTTACACAGCTAGTAAGTGGTGGCAGTAGTAACAGTTCGCTAGTAGTTGTTGGTCTCTCATACTGGTTGGGCCTTCCCTGAACTGTTTGAATGGTGGGCACTTGCTGGGGACGGTCCCTGTCCTTTCCCTCACCGAACGGGGCGTGTCCCTGGAGGGCAGGGCAGCCTCGCGGGACACAGGTGTGCTGGGGCTTTCCACCGCCCACTCGGGCAGAGGGGAGGCGGCCTCTCAGCCCTCCCAGGCTCCGCCAGCCCTCCCCTCCCCCTCCCCCCCCCCCCCCCCCCCCCGGCGGCGGCAGTACCGCGGGGGCGCCGGGCGGGAGGGGCCTGGAGCCGGTAAAAGCGGAGCGCGCGCTGCGGGGCCCGGACTGACAGCCATGGCGCCTCCGAGCCTGTCGCGGGCGCTGGGCCTGGGCCTGCTCGCACTCTGCCTCCTGGCCCTGCTCCGCGACGCCCGCGCCCGCCCCGGGGAGCGTTTAATCGGAGGCCGCACGAACCTGTCGCCCAGCGACCCGCAGGTGCAGAAGGCCGCGCAGGCGGCCGTGGCCAGCTACAACATGGGCAGCAACAGCCTCTACTACTTCCGAGACACCAACATCCTCAAGGCGCAGAGCCAGGTGCGGCCAGGCGGGCGGGGCCGGGGCCGAGGGGCAGCTGCGGGCCAGGCCGGGGCAAGGCAGGGAGGTGTCCGGAGGGTGGCCAGGTTAAGGGGATGCCACGAGCGTGTTCAGGACATTTCGCCACAATGTATTTTTTAAATTGAATTAATGCCAAAAAATGTATTAGGAACAACATATCCAGATTTCAATAGGATCTAGCCCTGACTTACACAGGGACTCACTAGCCTCCCACTAGCCCCTGCCCTGGGGGGTGGACTGGGGAGAGGGGAGGGAGGGAGCTAGGGCAGTGGGCTTCAGGGCGTGTGCACACCTGGGTCTCAGCTTCCTGTGTGGCCCAATCCTCTGCCCCACTCCCCAGGGATCCCCACCAGAACTTCCCCATCCAGGGTCTGAATCCTGAGGCGAGGCCCAGGCCCCGTGCTGAATGTCGAGAGAGGTGAGAGGTCTGGGTCAAGGGTGGTCTTCCAACACTCCTGACCCGCTCCTGCCCTCCATCCCCAGCTGGTGGCCGGCATCAAGTACTACCTGACCGTTGAGATGGGGAGCACAGCCTGTCGCAAGAACGTGGCCACGGGAGACCGTGTAGATATCACTACCTGCCCCTTTGCCACAGGAGTGCAGGAGGAGGTAATGGCCTTGCACCCCACTCCCCAGCACCCAAGGCTAGGTTGTCCCTGAACCAGTCTGGCTGGCCAGGCTGATGTCTGGCTGTACCTGCCCCTGTCTTCCCAGATGACTCAGCCCCCAGGCCAGGGTGGGGTGCGGGGAGGAGCCGACTGGGGCTTCTCCCTCCCTGGACCGGGCTAGAAAGATCTGGGATCTAGTCCTGCCCATTTGACTCCTTGACCCTTTGGCCCAGCGACAGTTCCTCTCGCACCCCAGAGTGGAGTGTCGCAGGCTTAGGGTGGCAGTTGTGAGGAGTCAGGCCTGGGACCCAGCCTCACCCCTCCCTCTGCCCGTGCTCTCCCTGCAGAAGCTGCGCTGTGACTTCGAGATCCTGGTGGTCCCCTGGGAGAATTCCTCCCAGCTTCTGAAGCATAACTGCGTGACTGTATCGTAGAGCCCTTTGGGCATGGGAGCTGGGGGGAGCAGGTGCTTCGTGGGAAGGCCCTTCAGGCCCATGGGCATATCTGTCACAATAAATTGCTGGCACTGCTTCTCTCATTGGACTCTCCCGAGTGCTTCCCTCCTCCCCCCGCACCCCCTCCTCCATCTCCTCCCCCTCCTCCATCTCCCATGCCCAGTTGTGGCAGCACCCCTTCCCCAGGCCAAAGAGAGCCCCTACCACCCCCAGTTGAGCTTCTGTTGTCTCAGCCCATACAGTGCTGAGGGCGCAAGTTTCAGTCCCCAAATGTGGACTTCTCCAAACACCCCAGCCTCACAGACACAGTCGATCAAACCTCCAAGGACTCTCAATATTCTCAGAGTTAAGGGGTGGGAGACAAACTCACAGGAGAGGCATGATGCCTCAAGACTGAGCAGGGGCAGGAGTCAGTGAATACTCTGAGGAGTGCCCGAGCCCTGCTCCCTCTCAGCTCCCGGGATGACCCAGGGTGGCCCAGGCTGGGTCCAGCCGGCTGGGCCCCCGGATGCTGAGCTCCCAACCTGTGAGGTTCTTGTACCCGCCCGCGGGCCAGCGATGGCAGAGCCCCCATAGGCCATAGGGCTGGGACAGTGGCTTTCCAGTACAGGCTGTGGGCCATAGGCCAGAGGGGGTCCCCAGTGCTTTGCCCCAGGCAAGACAGGAAGCCAAAAGGAGACCAAGGTCAAATCTGCCCACAGGAGAGATGAGAGGGCAGATGTGATGTGATGTCATTTAAAGAAAACAGAGCTGCAACATTTTTTGCACAACTGAATTTGTGGCTGCAAATCATACTCACTATACACGTACACACACACTCACACAGAACTCTCAACACACCACACACATACACTGAAACCACAGCACACACTTGGATGCTCCCAGACACCATATACACATCCAGAAAATCACAGACACACACAGCCTAGCCACCCAGAAACACACACACTGAAGCAACACCCTCCGCCCCAAACAACGTGGAGGTGTATACAGACCTCCACACACACAACCCCAGAGACCCACATGCCGCACCCAGAGCTGGGCCTCAGATGCACCAACACACGCCGACACCCGCAAGCTGGGGCCTACTGAGGAACGGCCCCCGGTCCCGGGCCCTGCCCTCTGCTCTCAGAGGCCGTACTGGGGTAGGGAGGGGGGCGGGGGTGAACTAGAGAGGAGCCTGGCACGGGGAGGTCTGCGGAGCCAAGCGGCTGAGCTGGACAGGAGCCAGGGATGCCGGGGAAAGTTCAGCCCTGCTTCTGTCCCCGCCCGTTAGATGCGGCAGCTCAGGCAGCCCGGGGCCACGCGGTGTGGCCGTGGCTTGGAGGGGCCCCCGCGGGCCACCCCACACAAGCCTCCAGCCTGGAGCTGGCACAGGGAAGTGGCAGGAAATGCTTGTTGAATGAATGTGGGAGGTAGTGGGTGAGGCGAGGCCCGCAGATATCTGCCAGGTGGCCTCTCCACCCCCGGAATCTGTGCCCCGATCCCAGAAGCCATTTCCTCGGCACAGTCTCTCCCCAGCTCCTGGGCCAGCCTGGAGGTAGGGGGAACACTGGCACGGCTGTCGCCCCTCTGTCCCTATTCCGGAGTCCTGCTCCTGACCCCCTCCAGCCTCTCCTGGGCCCTGGCTGCTGGGGACAGCACCCCACACTGGTCCGGAAGCCCCCAGGTCTCCAGCACCCTGCCTGGGCCCAGGCACTTGGGGACCTGGGACGGAGCCTCACCTCCACCCCCCCAGCCGTGGGGACGGGGGCTCTGGGCATTTTGCCCAGGTTCAGGCTGGAAAGTAGAGGAACTCACCTAAGCCTTAGGCCAGGTAGGGTGGGGAGTGACCATCAGGCTCATCCCCTGCTTTCCTCTAACAGAGGCTCACCCATCCCCCCCCAACACACCCTCACTCCCACACCCCCACTGTGTTCCCTGCACCCTCACCAACAGCCTGAGCCCAGGAGGACTTGAGCAGCCTCCATCCTACTTCCCCTCACTGAGGTTCTTTAGCCTGACCCCAAGCAGGGCAGGGTAGGGCAATGACCTCTGGCCTCTGGGTGCATGCTATCCCCATCGAGTTGGCACTCTTGTGCTGGATTCCGAGGGTCTTGGTAGGCCCAAGTTCCTGGGCTGTGAGCCCCTATTTCTGGAGCCTACTGGCCCTCTGGGCCCCGACAACCGGGGGCTGTTCTAGTCGGTTCTTTTTCTCCCAACTCCTGGGCCAGATGGACCTTCCTCCTGAAAGCAAGGTGACTGCCCACTCACCCCTCCAGCACTGAGCCTGGCCCCCTTTCTGAGTCACCTCTCTGGCCACTGCTAAGGCACTGCTGGCCCGAGCTAGACTGCGGGCCCTGGAGAGGACCAGGAAGAGCGCCTTTCACACACAACACTCCCTCTCTCTCTCTCACACACACACACACACACCACCAGTGCACACACGTGCACGTGCACAGTTCCCCTGCCCTGTGCCTTGGCTTAGCCAGGGAGGACACAGAGCCATTTGGGGTTTTAAAACTCTGTTAGGGCCCAGCCCTGCAGGCCAGATGATCATTCCAGATCGGGGGACTTGTCTGGACCCACGGCGGTGGGCAGCTTGCCAGAGGCTGCAATCCGCATCCCGTGTCTCTCTGCATCCAGGGGTCACTTCCTGAAGTCCTCTTCTCCAGCCTGTGGGGGTGGGATGGGCAGGTGACCGAGCCAGTGCCGGCCTCTGCCTTCCCCCACACCCATGTGACTGTTCAGGCCCCTCTGGGCACGAGCCTCCCATGCCTGGCTTTCTGGGGTCTTCCCACGTGGCCCCTCTCTCCTCTGGTCCTGCCTGGCGCACCTCAAACGCAGTGTCCACAATCTCATCAAGAACAGACGCCTGGGAGCGGAATTTCTGTTGATGATGCTCCACACCGGCCACCAGCTGCAGGAAGTGGAAAAGGAGCTCCTGCTGTCTTGGGGGGGAGGGGGGGAGGGGCAAGTTTGAGGTGACCTGCCCGGCAGGGTCATCCGGGCTGCCAGAGCCCCCCCCACCACAGCTCTTCTCACCGGCCTCCCGCCAGCCCCCCATTACAGTTTTTCTGAGTGGGGCCTTTCATGACATATCTCCTTCTCCACAAATAAAAAGCCCCCATTTGTGCCGGTGCCAGAGAAGTTTCTAACTGCTGTTTACCCTCCCAGTTATCCATCCCTCCATCCTCCGGTCCACCCCTCTGGTGGCCCCTCCAACTATGCCATACCTCTCTGTGCCCCCACTCACCCACTTACCCATTCACCCGCCCACCAACCTAGCCGTTCACTCACTTATCTGACCACCCTTATCCCTCCACCTACCTGCTCTTCCCTGGACACCCCCACCCACCCCTTCACCATGTTGTGCAGTCAGCCATCCACCTAACCGCCCCCCACCCACCATTCACCCAGCCCACTACCCATCTGTTACCTCCCTCATCACCTGCCCGTTTTATAAATCCATTAAGTGACACTAAAATCAATGAACACTGCCAGGCGCTCCGAGGACACAGACGTTAACCAGAAACAGTCCTTGCCCTTAGGAAGCTCCGTCTGTGGCAGAGCCAGGAATGCAAACCGAGAGTGTTTACGCTTGTGAGAAGAGTAAACCAGAGTGCTGAGGGTCCAGTCCCGGGGATCAGAAAAGGCTACCAGAGCAAGTGTCATTGAGCCGAGTTGGAAAGACACGAGAAGCTTTGCCAGGCTTGGGCAAGGTTCCTGGTCCGTTACTCCAGAAGAGCTGCAGTGTACTGGGGGCCAGGGCAGGCCTCAGGGAAGGAGGCCATAGAGAGTGGGTGAATTGGAGATGTAAAGTCTGATGAGGAAGGAAAAGCCTAAGCTGCTTTTAACAAAGACCACTCTCTAAATAAATAAAAAGAATAAAAGAAAGGAAAGATTAAAATAAACAACAACAAAAACAACAACAAACAAAAACAAAGGGCACTCATAGTGGAGGTAGACCAGTGGGGAAGAGTCTGGAGGCCCAGAAACCCCCATAGAAAGTGTTACCGAGGTGCCAAGGGCCCATTAGGCCAGTGGCCAAGTTGCTGGGATTGGGGGAGGGGGGCCAGGAGGGCCAGGATGTGAAGCGAGCAGGACTGGAACTCAGCTCTCCCAAATCTTGGTCACTTGAGTCTGGCATTGGCAGCCAGAGAACATTCCAGGCAGAGAAAACAGTGTGGACAAAGGGCCAGAGGTGGAGAAGTATGTGCTATGCTTGGGAAACAGTGCGGGGACAGCAAGGAAGTAGCCAAGGAAACGAGGGAGGTTGGCAAAGGCTGGGTCACAGAGGGCCTTTGGGGCTTGAACTTGGACGGCGGGTGAGGAGGGGCTGGAGGCTGCCAGTAGTCGGACTGCCCTGTCTGCTGGTTTGGACCCAGTCTGGATGAGGTGCAGCGGGGCCCAGCTTTCAGAGGGAGGGCTCTCTGAGGAGCCAGGCCTGAGAGCCAGGAAGCAGGAAGTCTGTGCCAAGGTCCCCCAGCCATGAGCGCAGCCGTAAGTCCCCAGCTGTCCTGGCCCAGCTGGCCAATCTTCGACGGGAATGGGATGTTGACCATCTGCCTCCCAGGCCTTTACCCAAGCTGTTCCTTGACCCTCCCTCTTCACCCCTCCACCTAGCCAAAGTCCAGCACCCTCATGGCCCAGCACAGGTCATTGGCAATAGGGCTCTCATGGGCACAGGCTAGTCTGTGTCCTGAAGAACTTGCAGGGCCTGACCCAGAGCAAGGGTCAGGGATGCTTCCTAAGTAAACAGATGAGCAGACTCCCTGCTGCCCTGCCTTTGCCCTCAGCCTCAGAGGGGCTCTCATGGCCCAGTAAGCACTGCTGGTGGGACTCTCTTGGTGGCACAAGCTAGCTCAGGGTGAGCAGAAGCCACTCATGGTCTCCACGTCCCACCCATAGGCTCTACATGGGCCTTGGCGCCCCACCCCCTTCCAGAGAGGTGGGCAATGTCCCTTGCCCTGCCAGCCCATGGGCCAGACCCCAGACCTCTCCCCTTAGACTCGGGGCCTCCCCTCCCTTTGCATCTCCTTACTTCTCAGTCATGGTCCCAAATTTTTTCTCGATGAGCTGCTTCTGTTTGGTGTGTTCACTCACCACCTCTTCAGGGTCTGGATGTAAAAAAGGGGACAGTCAAAAAGATGCCCAGATTCAGAGGATGTAGAAGACACCCCATGTGTCATGGAGGTATGCAGATGGGGCTAAAGGAGTTTTTGCCCACAATGCCCCCAAAGAGATGGCTTCTCCGGGTGTGGTGTGTGTATCAGATTTGTTTGTTTGTCTTTCCCTCTGGTAAAAACCCCCCGAGTTTTCCCAAGGAACCACTCCTGCCCCTTTTGGGTCCACCTTGTCTACCAGGGGGCTGACCCCACCGCCCACCTCCAAAGACATGTGACTCAGGCCTGGCTAATCAGAACAGCCTATTCTTTTGGCTATTGTGATTGGTTCCAAAATAGTCAGGTGATCAAAGCAAAGAGGACACATATCCGGGACTCTGCTATAACTACAGGAAGAAGAGAAAGTCTCTGCTTGGCGTGAGAGGAATGGCTAACCTGTGAGGATTTCCCACTGCAAGGGAAGAGCCACCCTAAGCGCAAAACCATGCGGAGGACACAGAGCAGAGGGATGGAAAGAGACCGAATCCTGACCAGTATTCAAGTCCTGGATCTAGCCATTCCTGAAAACCACACGCCCTCAATTTGCTAAGTAATTTCTGCCAATTAATTCCTCTTTCTGGTTCAGCTTTTTTTGCACTGGGTGTCTTTCCCTGATCGAAGGGGCAGGTGAGGGACCTGGTGACCCTTTGGGACCCTTAGTCCTCTAGTGTTGAGGAGCCTAAGAGTGGGATCCTTAGAGCTCAGATTATCTAAAGTTCTGAAGATCTTTAAGCAGGAAGCAAACCAACTGTCTCAAAATCAATTCATTCAGAAAGTCAAGTTTATAAAAATGAACATGTCCAGGAAACTTGATTTTTAATGACTCTCAATCCACTTTGACTGACTCTGGACAAGTGTGTGCAACACCTTAACGAAACCCTCCAAGGCAGTCGAAACCATCCCATGTAAAACCAAGTGCTATAACCTTTATAAGTTATTAGAAGAAACGAGCATTTGGTGAATCATAATTTGGCTAATTAGTCATTTCACAAACGGGGCTTTCAGGAATTGACGATCGGTTTAATTGCTTTTCAGAAGATTATCTTAGAGTTCTTTGGACCAAAGTTCTAAGCTCTGAAAGTCCTCCTGAGTCTCAGATTCTCAAACTCTGCCACTGAACCTGGAATTGTGTGTCTGACTGCGGAAGGAGGGCCAGTACCTGATTTGCTGAGTTCGGTCAGTGAGTCATCCAGTAGCTTCTCATGGATCCGGGCGGCCCTCTGGGAAGAAGAGGCTTTGGTCCCGCCCGAGTCCCCTCCCTGTCTGCCCTTCCCTGGAGCAGCCTCCTCCCTTCCCCCCAGCCTCTGTGCCCACCCCTTTGTGGTTCCCTCCCAGGTCCACCTGCCCCACCCCGCTCAGTACCTCCTGCTTTACTTTCTCCAGGCCCTTGAGCAGAGCCATCTGGAAGTTATCCACCAGGACGGCAATCACCAGGCTGGGGATGGTGGGGGAGGATAGTGGAGGAGGCTGTAGGAGAGGCCCTGCACCCTCCTCTGGGTTGGTTGTGGCATGACCAAGGGGAGAGGGCTGGGGAGGGGCGCCCCAAGATTAGGTGGGGGTGGCGGTGAAGCTGGGGAGCCGAGTAGGGATGGGGTCCTCACTTGAGGAAGATGAAGTATTGGATGATGATGTAAATCATGAGAATGGGGATGATGTACCAGGCACCTAGGAGAGAGGGTGTCGTTTGAGCTGTGAGTTCCTTGCCCACCCTCACCACACCCCTGCCAGCAAGGATCAGATGCCCCACTTTGCAGATGGGGTAACTGAGCCCTCGGGGTCTGCCCACCCAGCCAAGCCCCTGCCTTCCACCCCGTCCGGGGTCCTGTCCCACCCTGGGCCCGGCTGTCCAGGTAGATGAGGGACCAGTCATCCAGGGTGAGCATGGTGAAGAGGGTGAAAATGGTGGAGAGGACGCTCTGGAAGCGCTTGGGGTCAGAATGACGGAACAGAGCCCGGAGCACCACAGAGAAGAGGACTGGCTGTTCAGGGCCAAGCCAGGCTCGCAGAGTCCCATTCCCCAGCCCCGCTCCGGCCACTGCAAACCCGCCCATCACAGCACCTCAGGCTCCCACCCCCGCCCCCACAGCACAGGATACAGAGGCAGGTAAACATGAGGATGAGGATGGCGGTGATGGATGGCAAGGACCGCGCCAGAGTCCCGGTCACTTCCTGGAGGCTGGTCAAGAAGCTGTGGGCAGAAGTTGAGAGGCTGAGTCAGCAGGGGTGGCGATCTGTGCCCAGCAGGCGGAACTGACACCTCCGACAGGGGGGGCACCGCTTTGCTAGAGGTCTGGGAGAGTTCAGCCCTCTCTGGAAAATGACTGATCCTAGCGGATGGCAGGGGGCTCATCAGAAGTGGGCTGGAGCCCACAGCCTCTTCGTCCCCCATCCCTTGAACAGGTCACAGCAGATTCCCTGGGAGCCCAGGCCTGTGTACCCCCTTCCCGCAGGGTGGGGTGGGCAGCCGCGGCGCCGCTGACCTGAGCCTCCGGAGGACCCGGACGGCCCTCAGGGCCCGCAAGCTCTTGAAGACCTTGAAGATCCGGAAGACGCTTTGGTGGTAGACGAAGGAGAAGGAGTTGTACTGTAAGAGCATGAAGTCCAGCATAGCCATGATCATGATAAAGAAGTCTGAGGGCACAGGGGGGCGCTGGGAGTCACAGGCTCCGGCCCAGGCGCCTCCACGCCCAGACCCGCAGTCCCCCCAACACCAGCACGCCCTGCCAGTGCCCCTTTTTGTCCCCAGCCTCCGTTAGCAGTCCGGTGCCCCCCCCCCACAAACACCCCCATCCCCACCCACCCAGATTGTTCCATGGGTCAGAAAAGTACTTGAAGCCCAGAGCAGTGATCTTGAGCGCAGCTTCCACCACGTAGATGCAGAGGAAAATGGAGTCCAAGGCCATGAAGTACCACTCTGCAGGGACACCAGGGGCTCACTCACGGCCCTCCCCAGCGGCCCTGGCCCATCTCTCCTCCTCCCCTCTGGATCTCACGCGCAGTCCCTGTTAGGGAGGACCTGGTTCTGCCCTAAGGGCTGTGTGTCTTAACTGCTCTGGGCCTCAGTTTTCTTGTCCGTAAAACAGGGATAATACTGTCACGTGGCCTGACCTCCTGAGCTCAGGGAGCTCCTAGCAGCTTCTGCCCGTCAATCTTACCATTTAGAAGCTAGGGAAGGAACAGCTGGAACAGAAAAACATTTAAGGAAGACAGCCGGCACGGAATCAGAGAGTGCCTCAGCCTCCTTGTCATGCTAAAAGCCCTCTCTGAATATTCATCCCAAGCCCTGCTAGAAGGAGCCTGCTTTCCCTAGTGAGGGGGTCACAGCTTTAGAAATGACTCCCCTGGATCTCCTTATTTCTACAAATAAAGATGACCTTGTGAGGCAGCTCCACCGGGGCTGGTCTGTATAGAACTCACCAAGCAGCAGACCCACTTTGGTCTGGGAACAGTACCAGTCGGCCTGAGCGCGTTTTCGTGAACATTGGCTTCACTTAATACAGAATAAGAATGCAGCCAGGCTTATCCTCTGCTTCGTTTATTTCCGCGGCGGCAGGCCTTTCTCTCCCTCTGCTGCCGAGGGTCTCAGGGGCCTCCTGCCGCGGTTTTCCACTCTCACCCCTCCACAGTCTCCTGGCCCTTTCCAGGCGACCAGGGTTTCCAACCGCTGCCCCACAAAGCGGCGTGTTTAGGGTCGATGCGCCACCTGGTGGCTATATTACAAACCACATTCTCCAGTTTAGCAGGCTCTTGTGTCTCTGGCTGGCTGGTTGACCTCAGCAAGGTCTCTGAGGCTCATCTTTAATACTGGCCCATGTTTACCTCCCAGGGGTAAGGATGAAATGAACTAAGTTACATAAGCCACCCGGCACTGGATCAGGCCCACAAGAGGCCTAGAACAAGATCTATGGCTTTCTCCATGTGAAAGTGGCTCCTCAGGGGCGCCTGGGTGGCTCAGTCAGCTGAGCGGCTGCCTTTGGCTCATGTTGTGATCCTAGGGTCTTGGGATTAAGTCCCACATCGAGGTGCCCGCTCCGCGGGGCGCCTGCTTCTCCTTCTGTCTCTGCCTCTGCCTCTCTCTCCGTTTCTCATGAATAAATAAAGAACTTTTTTTTTTTTTTGAAAAGAAAAGAAAGGGGCTCCCCAGCTCTTACCACCCCGGATCTCAACTTCAGCGAAGGTCTGTGCCACAAGCATGATAGTGTTGAGGCAGACAACGAGGAAGATGAAGGCTTCAAAGGGCAGGGACTGAGTCAGGTTCCTAAGCATTCTCCGGAGGCCCTTAATGAGGTAGCTTAATTTTTCCCACAATCTATAGAAGAGGTCCACAGTGTGCAGCCTCTTGTGGGCTCGCTGAGCTCTGGTGGCTGTAAGGGGAACAGAGAGTCAAGTCTGTGCGGAAGGTAGCATGGGGATCCCAGGCATCCTCCCAGACTAAGTTGGGGTTCATCTTCATGCCTCCTGCTTGCCTACCATCCACTCACTGAGGTGCCTCTATGCTATCTTGTGCTGATCCTGGGGCTACTCCGGATCCTGGGGCTACTGGACTCCTGCTGCCCCTTCCATGGAAGATGCCAACTTGTTTGGGATTTGTGGTCTGCTCAAGTGCATCTTGCAGGCTCATGATTCTGTACCTCCAGGCCTTTCTTTACCCACGTGGCGACTTATGCATGGAAAACCCCATTTTCCACACTACCCCATCCTCTTGGTGAACTCTCCCTCTCCCTCTGAGATTCTGCTGAAACATCACCTCCTTTTGGCTGCCTTCCCTGCTCCCATCCAGTTAGGTACCTATCCCTCTCTGCTTGTTTGTGAGACTGTTACTCTGTTTACTGAACCACTTGGGGCCAAGCTTGGGGGATTGTGCTTTAATAGCCAAGGTCCCTCCCTGCCCTTAAACAAGGCCCTCTTTCAGACACTGGATGTCTGTCAAGATGCTCACAGTTTAGTGGGGGAAATGTGGACAAATACAATCTACAGTGGTAACTGTCCTGATATGAAGGATAGGCCACCATCACTGGGTGGTCTAGGATTGGTTGTTTAAGTGACCACCCCCCAGTCTTGGAGCCCCTCAAGGGCAGGATTTGTTTTCTCTGTGCTTCCAGGGTCCAGGCAGGCCAGGGACCCATATAAGACAAGAAGAAATGTTTGAGAAGTGAATGCATATAGGCACAGAAGTGACTGGATAAACAAACTACCAATGGCCTGAGAAGGTGCATCATTTAAGGAATAGAAGATTGGATGGTGAGCAGTCAGGTGAGTGAATAGCCAATGGAATATGCATGCAGCTAAGAGTCATGCCTCATGATCTGTGGAAGGTCAGTGCAGGGCCCAAGTCGGGCCTGGAATCTGGGCCAGGCTGTGTGAGTTGGGGGTGGGGGAAGAGAGACTCACTTTTGCGCTTCTGAAATTGCTCATCTTCTTCTGCCCAGCTTTCCGAGGAAGTTTTAGAGGAGGAATCCTGAGGATGGACTTTGTTGGACCTCAGGGACACATCATGTGAGCGCGCTGCACTGTGGGAACGAGTCAAGCTAAAGGCTGAGCGCTGTACCCGTACCATGCTAGGTTGGAGGGCTACTGAATGAGAAAGGGAAGAGCCAAAGGAGGCTTTGGCCACACTGTGAGACTTGCGTGGGCCAAAGACTTGGGAGCTACCATGATGGTACTCCCTGTAGCGGTGATCACCATGGAGATAATCATAACGATGCACACTATGGTGGTGCTTGCCGTGGTGGTGCTCCCTGTGATGGTGCTCACCATGGTGGCCATGGTGGTGCTCGCCGTGGTGACCATGGTGGCCATGGTGGTGTTCACTGTGGTGGTTGTAGTCGTCATAGAAGTGAGGTATCGAGCGATCGTGGTAGGAGTCCACATAGGAATGGTGGGAAAAGTTCTCTCCATGATGAAGAGGCCCTCTGTGGTGGTGGGCTTCATGATGATGGTGCCTACCATGGTGATGGGCCTCACTGTGATGGTGAGGGCCACCATACGTGTAGGAATCTTTATGGTAGTAAGGCTTACCTTGGTGATGGAGCCCACTATGGTGGGAAACCTCACCATGGTGGTGAGACCCACCATGGTGATGGGGTTCCCTATGGTGGTGAGACCCACCGTGGTGGTAGGTCTCACCGTGGTGATGGGACCCCCCATGGTGGTAGGGCTCACCGTGGTGATGGGACCCCCTATGGTGGTAGGGCTCACCATAGTGGTGGGACCCCTCGTGGTGGTAGGGCTCACCATGGTGGTGGGACCCCTCATGGTGGTAGGGCTCACTGTGATGGTGGGAGCCACCATGGTGGTAGGGCTCACCGTGGTGGTGGGACCCCCCTTGGTGGTAGGGCTCACCGTGGTGGTGGGACCCCCCTTGGTGGTAGGGCTCACCGTGGTGGTGGGACCCCCCTTGGTGGTAGGGCTCACCGTGGTGGTGGGGCCTACCATGGTGGTACTCACCATCAAAGGGGCCCTCACCAAGGGAATGTTGGGAGAAGATAGTGCTATGAGAAGGGGCCACGGCAAGAGATGTGAGATGGTGAGCTCTACCTTGATGGTGGGCCTCACTATGGTGGTGGGAGTGGTGGGAGTGATGGGAGTGGGGGGAATGGTGGGAGGGGGCACTGTCATGAAAGGCTTGGAATTCATCAAGGTGGTGAGATCCACCATGATGGTGGGACCCACCATGATGGTGGGACTCACCATGATGGTGGGACTCACCGTGATGATGGGATGTGCCATGATGGTGGGACCCGCCATGATGGTGGGACTCACTGTGATGGTGGGATATGTCGTGATGGTGGGACTCACCATGGTGCTGGGACACACCGTGGTGATGGTACCCCTGACGGCGGTGGACTCTGCTATGGCCTGGCCTGTGATGTGTGGTTGGTGAGCCAAGGTGAGATAACACATCCAAATCATTGGTGTCTGCCTCATTTTGAGCTGTTTCAGCCAACGAGGGTTGATCCATGACTATGCTGGTAACACTGGAATGAGGAGATCTCAAGATGTGGGCCCAACAGTCTCCTCCCTGAATTGTCCTTCCAACCGGTGGCACTGGCGCTTCTAGGAAAGCCTGAGTCCTCTCATGGAATTCTCCCTTTATGATGTCACCAGCAGACCCCTTCTCAGGTCTAATTCCCAAATGCCTCCTTCTGGGGTGTAGTTCAGAATCAAGGATCATTGTGTCTAACCTCTTCATTGTAAAAGGAGGAAACTGAAGTCAAGAAAAGGGAAGGGATTATTTCCCAAGGGTCAGCTGGGAAGATGGCAGAGTAGGAGGACCCTAAGCTCACTTCATCCCACAGATACAACTAGATAACACATCAGTGTAAATAACCCAGAAAACAGTATGAAGACTGGTAGAACAAACTCATAACTAAAGGTAGAGAAGACGCCACATCAAAGAAGGTAGGGAGGATGAAGACATGGTTTGGGAGCGGAACAGACCATAACTGTCCACAGTGGGAAGGGAGCCAGTGGTGTAGAGAAGGGTGAAAAAGAGACTTTTACATTAGGAAACCCATGAATGGTGAGGATGAATCCCCAAGCATTTGCCTATGAAAGCAAGAGAGGCCAAATTTCCTGAGTTCTTACAACCAGCCAGACTTAGAGCCTGGAATTTTAAAAATCGGCAGTCTCTGCTCTGGGAGAGCCTGGAGGGCATTAGGAAGTGGAGTCCCTGTACTTAAAGAGACAGCACAGCTCCGCAGATATAGAAGTTTGAAAAATGCCAGAGGCAGATGGGAGAAAGAGTGGTTTGCTAATCTCAGAGCATGACCAGGAGAGACAGGAATCATGGGGAGACCCCTCCAGGAACAAAGAAACTAGCAGGTGTCATTTCCCTCTCCCCCTCCTCAGCATAAAAAACAGAAGCCTGCAGGAACCAGTGCAGCCAACACTCACTACTTACTACTTAACTTGCTACACCAAGCCCCACCCTTTCATGCTTTGGCAGATCTGCCCTTCCCAGCCACACTGGTCTCAATCCCACTTCTGCATGCCCCCTCCTCCAGGAGACCAGTGCAAACCCTACCAACACCTCATCTCCCTACCTGCGCATTTTGTGGGACCTCAGGTCTGGTGGCAGCAGGGGCAGGCCTCATTTCGCAAGCAGACCAGGGTACACCTTGCTAAAATGTGCCCCACCCCTGCTGGGGACCAAACACTGACCACAATAGGCAAAGAGAGCCTCTGCAGACAATGAGACTGAAGGAAAAAGAGGCCAGGACTCAACGGCAGAGCACACACAACACACATAGGAGATACTCCCTGAATTTCCAAGCCCTGGCACCAGGGGACACTGCACTGCAGGGCACTACAGGACGTGTTCTTCATAAGGCTCTTACTGATAAGAGTAAGAGTAAGAGAAGTGGCTGACTTTCCTAACATACAGAAACAGACACAGAGAGCTAGACAAAATGAGGAGAAATATGTCCCAAATGAAAATGCAGGACCAAACCACAGCAAGAGACCTAAGCGAGATGGATATAAATAATATGCCTGATAGAGAATTTAAAGTAATGATCATAGGGGTGCCTGTGTGGCTCAGTCAGGTGTCTGACTCTTGATCTCGGCTCAGGTTTCAATCTCAGGGTTGTGAGTTTGAGCCCCACGTTGGGCTCCACACAAAAATAAAACACACACAAAATAAGGTAATGATCATAAAGGTACTGGACTTGAGAAAAGAGTGGAAAGCATCAGTGAGACCCTTAACGCAAAGATTAAAAAAAAAAAGAACCAATAAGAGATCAAGAACACAATAAATGAAATTAAAAATACACTTGATGGAATAAATGCAGGCTAGATGAAGCAGAGGAATGAACTGATGACCTAGAAGACAGCGTAAAGGAAAGTTACCAAGCTTAGCAAAGGCAAGGAAAGAAAATTATGCAAATTGAGAATAGCCTTAGAGAATTCAGTGACTCCAGAATTTCCTTTATAGGGATCTCATAAGAAGAAGAGAGAAAAAAGGGGGTAGAAAGTTTATTTGAAGGAATAATAGCTGTCAATTTCCCTAATCTGGGGAAGGAAACAGCTATCCAGATCCAGGAGGCATCATAGAGATCCACCCCCCTCCCCGCCCAATTCAACCAAGGAGGTCCATACCAAGGCACAAAGTAAGTAAAATGGTAAAAGTAGTGATAAAGAAAAAAAATGGAAAAGAAGCAAGAGAAAAAGACAGTTACATACAAGGGAAACCTCATCAGGCTATCAGTGGATGTTTCAACAGAAACTTTTCAGGACAGAAGAAAGTGGCATGATATCTTTAAAGTGCTGAAAGGGAAAAATCTGCAGCCAAGAATATCCAGCAAGGCTATCAATCAGAATAGAAGGAGAGATAAAGAGTTTCTCAGACAAACAAAAACTAAAGGAATTCATGACCGCTAAACCAGCCCTACAAGAAATATTAAAGGGGACTTTTTGAGTGGAAAGGAAAGACCGTAAGCGAGCAAGAAAAGTAAAAACACAAACAGCAAAAATAAGTATTTCTAAAAAATTAGTCAAAGGATTCAGTAAATAAAAAGGGGGAAGGTCTAAAATATGACACCATATACCTAAAATGTGGTGGGTAGAAGAGCAAAGGATGGGTTCAAACTTAAGTGACCATCAACTTAATATGGACTGCTATGTACAGAAGATGTTATATGCTGAATGATAACCACAAATCAAAACCCAGTAATAGATATGCAAAGAATACAGAGAAAGGAATCCAAGGATATCATTAAAGAAAGCCAACAAACCATGAAAGAGAGCAAGAGAAGAAAGGATCAGAGAAAATCTATAGAAACAACCATAAAACAAGTAACAAAATAGCAATAAATATGGGCCTATCAATAATTACTTTGAATATAAGTGGATTAAACACTCCAATCAAAAGACATAGGGTGACAGAGTGGATAAAAAACAAGACCCATCTATGTGCTGCCTACGAGAGACTCATTTCCGAACGAAAGACACTTGCAGATTGAAAGCAAGGGGATGGAGGAGTGCCTGGCTGGCTCAGTCAGAAGAGCATGAGACCCTTGATCTTGGAGTTGTGAGTTTGAGCCTCACTTAAAAATAAAATCTTTAGGGGTGCCTGGGTGGCTCAGTTGGTTAAACATCTGACTCTTGATCTCAGCTCAGGTCTTGAGTTCAAGCCCTGCACTGGGCCCCATGCTGGGCCTGGAACCTACTTAAAAAAAAAAAAAAGAATTAAAAAAGGCACTTGCAGGGCGCCTGGGTGGCTCAGTTGGTTAAGCGACTGCCTTCGGCTCAGGTCATGATCCTGGAGTCCCGGGATCGAGTCCCACATCGGGCTC